GGCCACGGGCTGCCTTGTTGCTGGTGTGGCCGTTTGCGCACGGCGAGTCTGGCATGTTCGGGATGTTATGAAGTCGTCTAACAACGTGTTTGGCATTGGAAATGATTGAGCTGTTAGTGGAAAAAATGTATTTTATGTTCTTTGTTCTCTTACATTGGACCTGTCAGAAGGGCAAATGTCAAGTGCAAGGCCAACTTAAAGGCTAATACCCATGAGCAAGCCGCACAACACGGCTCTGTAGTCCTGTCTGGTGGTGTGAGGTGTTTTTAGCATGTCATGTTTTTAACATGCAGAGTCATGTTAGGTCAAGTTAAGGAAACCACACACACACACACACACACACACACACTTCTGAGCTGTTTACAAATACATAGGCAGCTGCCCTTAGGCTTGAGGCATGGGTGGGACATCGCAAGGTACCAGCAGTGCCAGTAACTCCAAAGGGCAGTTAATGTGTTTGGAACTTGAAGTCTTCCCAGTATTTTAGTGTTACCAAGCCTTGCGATGCTGTTGAACAGCATTGGACAGGGAGGCTGTGAGGTTTGTCACGAGCTGTTGGGGATGTGTGCGTACATAGAGGGACAAGGGAGACAGTTCTCCCTCTTCCTTCCCTAGGTGAGATCTTCTTTCTTCCCCTCATGCATCTCTAGCCGTGGGTGCAGAGGGGAGGCAGCTGGGCTGAACGCAGCGCTGCCCCGCGTCCAGGCTCCAGTGCTGTTCCGTGTCGCACAGTGTGAGCAAGCCAATAAATAGGAAACTTCTTGTGAACTAACCACGCAGCTTCTCCTGTGGGATAAAGGGGGCGGAAGAGCAGAAAAACATGCTATTTTTCTTCTGAACAGCTGGCAGGTGCTCCAGAACTGCGGCGCTTGGCTCCCCACGTTCTTGGCCTGCAAGAAGCTGCAGCAGTGCAGGGAATAACTTTGAGCTTTCGTATGTTGGGCTGAGACTTTGATTCAGTTTATTTTGTGTTTCTCTTTGTGAGAGAGAAATCAAACACTCGCACGGTCCTCAAATAAGGTAACTTATGTGTTCATTCCAGTAGCAGCCAACTGTGGAAATGGGGTAAATGTGCACAGCCAGTTAGGTTGGTGTGGGGAAAGCATGTGATGCTGTCTTTAGTGTTGGGGGGCCTTCTCCCATGTTTCTTTCTTTTTCTTTCTTTCCTTTTTTTTTTCTTTTTTTTTTTTTAAGCTTAGGGAGCTGCTGCTCTGGCCTAAAACTTTAGAAATATTTTGGTTTTTTGGGTGAGGTTTTTCTTTTCTCTTTGGTTGGTTCTTACTTGAATTGAGGCAGGAGAGTTGTAGTTGTCAAGCTGGACTTTTTCTCCCCGTGAAGAAGGAGCTCAGGGACAGAAGGAAGATAAAAAGCTATTCTATGTAAAATATCATATTAAATGATCCGGGAAGAGGCAGAAGTGGAACAAGAAAGGGTATTTTGAACAATAACTTATATATTAAGAATTGGCACAGTTCTCATGAATTTTAGAAAATATATACTATTCCATTATGCTTTGTTGGACAGTATTTGGCACTGCTATGGCTACAGAAATATGAATGGCTACACACATGATTTTTGTTTTTTTCCAGGGTGAAACTGAGCCTGTTGCATGTACCCTTGCAGCACATTCATATGAAAGCAGCACTGTGTGGTTTACACCCATAAATAAATTTAATGAAAATGCAGGAGAAAGTTTTACTGACTTTCTTTTTCCCTATTGGTTTACTGTATCTGAAAATATAGTCCCTCTTCCAGTCCTGCCAGGAGCTTTTCCTGTAAACCAGTCCAAGTATGTGCTATTTTTATAGAAAAGACACTAGTCTTTTCTGTAAAATTGATTATTTCTCGTTTTGTACATATTACAGCAATGCCTCAATGCTTACAGATGTAATGAAGAGCCTACTGGATTAAGGCACTTGCACAATAGTAGGGAGGGATGTGTTCTTAAAGACCTCCTGCTGTTTTTTGTTTGTTTTGTTTTTTTAATCCCTCCAAGCATGGACAAGGAGTGAGAAGGACATGATGTGATTTGGCCCAGGCCACGCAGCAGGTTAGTGGCAGAGTTTAAAGGAAAAGCTGGTTCCCCCAGACAGCAGCTGAACTTTGGTAGAGTGCACTGCTTCTCACTTGTCACTTCATATCCTCATCCTGAAGTGACTTCTTTGCTGTTTTCCCATTTCTACATATGAAAAAAATGTGTATATTCTAACTATATGCCACTGTTTCCATAAAGAAATACATATATATTTTTCCTACCTTCTTTAAAGCAGATTAAAATGAAGTAAACTCTTTACCGTAGGACTGTGCATGGTGGGAATAGAGCTCCTCGAAACTCTATTGAAGATGAATTAAGGTCGTTTTCTGGAGAAATTGCAGGAGTATATAGGATATGCAGAGGATATTTAAGTGGGTCAGATCTCTTTTACAATGTCTTACAGACCCAGTTACAGTTCCTTAAGTAAAATAAGAAATCTATCTTTAACTTAATAATGGGTGGAATTTGAATCTTTTTTACCTATAAAAACCTTTATGTGGTAGCCTACATCTACTCTATAGCTGAGATAGACAGTGGAAAAGGTAGAGACTAAAATAGAGACTAGAATACTTGGATTGATGAATAAAAATATGACCTTAGAGCTGAACCCTGAACTGATTATTTTCCAGTGCTAATGCAGCTGTATCTGCTAATTTTATGATATGTATGAGTAGATCTCTAAGGTGTATCTAAGTGTTTGTACTTTGGAGTGAACAAAGCATGGCTGAATTTATATTAATAAATTTATATTTTTCTGTGATTTGTGTGATTTTTATGGGCTAAAACATGAATTTGATAGTGTTGATTATGGGAGAAAAATGTTTTATAATAGGATATGCCACACAGCTTTTATTTTTGGGTAAAAGAACAATTTTTATATAGTATCTGTACTTGGTGGAAATAGGCTGTGTGATCTTGAGTATATACAGTCTGTTGAGTCTGTTTTGCATCTCAGTTACTAGACAAGGCAATCTGTGTGATTTTGAGTTGAGAGCTGAGTACAATAGCGGTTTTGAAACCCAGTTTTAAGAGTGTTCAGATCTTTTGCTTTGTAAATTATCCTGAAGCTTGCATCTTCCTATGCTTATTTCACTAGCTGTAAAATGCAAAGAATATTTTAGACATACTGTAACATTATGCATATGTATTACTTAGGCTTCTCCCCTTTGCATTCTTTGAACATCCAACACCCCTGAGAAGGGGGTAGTTGTTTAATGTTGTAATTTTCCCCCATGCTTTCCTTTCTAATAAAGATGTTAACACTGTATCTTGAAATATGTTCTTTTATTTTGTTATCCATTTTAACCCAGTGCTAGTTTATTCAGTATTTCAAAGAAAACAATGGTTTTCTTTGCCCAGACCTGCTGTTTTCATTGTCCTTAATAAATTAAACTGTCCAAAATCTACACTGCAGTGCTCCACATTACGTGGAAGGTCACACACACACACACACCAAAAAAAAAAAAAAAAAAAAAGGCATACCAGGCAAAATGTACATTACTTACACACTGCTGCTCTCACTAAAAACAACATAGAAGTGTTGTGTTTTATTATAGTGCACTCATCCAGTTTTATTGAAAACTGCCAGTTAAGATAGTGCTAATGAACCTTGGTCTTGCAAAGATGACATTTATTACCCTGCAAGCTTCACTAAGGCAAAAGTCTTTAACTTTCTTCAGTGACTTTATCAAAGCACTGCAGATGTCCCAGAAAACAAGACTCCAAGGACTGGATGCACCAGTTCAAATACTTCTTTCTTCCTCCCTCCAAACGGTTTTTGATCTTAAATGAAGTTTTTGAGGAGGTGAAGTCGTACTTTGTTTTCTAATGAAAAGCAGATGACTGGCATAGAAAAAAAAAAAAAAGAAAAAAGCTGAAGACGGTCAAAGAAAGGAATGAATGAACAAAACACTGCTGAAGAGTTGAAATAACTCAGCAATTTAAGCCACTGAGGAATGTACATCAAGCACTCAGTACAAAATTCTTGCATTGTCAAGATCTATAATGAAAACTTAGCTATCAAGAGGACCTTTTCAGGTTGTCCTTTTCCTTTGTTTACAGAACATTTATGCTGATTCTCATGTTTTAGGGAGATTAAAAAAAAAGAAAAAAAGCTAGTTGTTTGAGAAAGAGCTCTGAAATAACTTGAACAGTACGAATTAATGTCTGCTTTGAAAGATCTGGCAAGAAAATACCACTGAGAGCAGAAAAAATTCTGCCACTGAGCGCTCTTTTTTTCTTTTTTACTTCTTCTGTGAGTGGGTTGAAATTTATTTTTGGCAGTTCAAGTGAGCCATTATCAGGATTCGTACATCTGTTTGTTTGCATCTTTGCTGTTAATTATTGTGTGACACCAAAGTTTGTGTAGTTACTCACTGTTTATAGAGTTTAGGCTTTATAGTAAACATAATGTGGTGAGCTTCTGAGAAATGCTGTTCCCCCTCATAGAAAAAAATGCTCAAAACGCTTATATTTGTATGTGTGTGTAATGTTTCTTTGCTTGTATTATGTTTCATTGTGGTATGATCTCAGGCAAATAGCAGTGAGTGTTATATTATGTCAGTTATTTATAGGGTTGAGCATTTGTCCCAAAAGCTGTGTGGGAAGGATCAAATTTTACTTCCTTAAAAATAATATTCAATCATTTGTTTTTCCAAGAACTTCTTTATGATTCTCTTAAATTTACTTTGGCAAATTTTCTGACAGTCATATGTTTGTCAGCTTTTCTCCTTGATTTAGCTGTGAAAACCCGAAAACTCTCAGGGCAACATTGTCTCCTGCACAAAGGAAATGTGGGTAGCTTATTTGGCTTTTTTTTTTTTTTTCTTCTTCCCAAGCCAAAAACTTGACTTCCCTAGCCAAAAAGTTGAGAATGTGTCATCAAGTCACCTTACAGATGTCCAAAGTCCCCAACCTTGCAGATGTCTTTCAATCACTGACCTGTCTTTCTGGTCATTGAACCTTAATGGATCTTACAGGCTTGAGTAACAAAGAGCAAAATTGGCTCAGTGCCTGTGTAGCTGCAAAAGACACAAAACCAAAACAAAAACATTGTAAAATAACACTGGGAACATCAGGAAACTATTCGTCTCCCTTCTTAGATGCCAAATTCTGCACCAAATTTGGGCAGATTTCACAGGAGGTAGGACCAAAGTCTGCCCAGGTGAATGCTGAAGAATTAGAGAGGCTGAGGCATCATGTGATGCTCAGCAAAATGTAGAAAGCAGCTTTCTTAGTGCTCAGGTTGCTGAATGCTGAAATTGACTTGGAAGAGCAATTTGCAGTCATTCTGCAAAGCTGTCAGTCTCAGGAATTGCCAGGCCATGTTCTTTTCTGTGCCTCTTAGGTGCTTCTTTCTTAGGTAAAATGGAATTTGGGAGCACAAAAGGAAAATGAAATAGCTTCCTGAAATGGGTTGTATGAATCCCTTTGAAAAATGACATGGCAGTGCAGGATATATTAACATCACAATTTTTTTTCTACTAAGAGTGTTTCAGAGCCATAAATATTATGCAGCAGTTGGCATACCTTCCTCACAGAGGTCCTGGCACTGCAAATTCATGAGTATCTCATTACAGGCCAGCACACAGATATCTCTGAGCGGTAGAAAAGGACGGTTTTCTTATAATTAGGCCTTCAGATAGGCACAAGAATGCTGTTAAAAGAGCCTTACTGTCAAAATAACCAAAACCCCTTGGATATGCAGAAGAAAATCTCATCCCTTAAAGCTGCACTTTGCCTGACTAGAATTGGTATTTCGGACTTTTCAATGATTTGAAACTTGATTACCTAGTTTGCCACCTCTTTCTTAGTTGCTGGTGTTGTTTCACAGTCAGTGTGTGTGTAACTCCACTTTCCAGCATAAGCAGCAGGTCTCGGTGGTGGGGTCGCTTCTGGCATTCGTTGCCTGCGATGAGCTGGCCCTGAATGGCTTCACTGACTAGTGCAATCGTTGTGTGCTTATTCCTGGTTTTTGCTTGCTTTGTTGTGTGCTTATTTTTAGTAGTAGGATTCCTTGCTGGCGGTGCAGCTGATAACATCATGCTGTATGTATTGCCTGTTGGATGTCCTGTTTGGATTTAAGTCATTATAAGTGTGTAGATGGCACAATCTGTAAGTGCCGATATGTCAGCAAGCACCTCCTTTATGCAGGAAATAGGTAGAATAAGGGCTTTCTGCAAAGGAGTTAGCCGTGTTTGTTTCTCAGAATCACGTCAATCTTTCTGTTTGGGGTGCTAATATTTTTTTTTCCAGTAAATAAAGTGTACTTATGTGGTAGCTAAACAGAAATTGCAATCAATAGTGCTGCTTTTCTGTTCATTTTGAAGTAACACTAGTTCAGCAAGCTCCTGTTTTTACAGCATTGACGTTCTTTTTTGTTGATTTCAGGCTGAGGAATCTTGTAAGTGCAATGGCTGGAAAAACCCCAATCCTCCTCCTACACCTCCTCGGGCAGACCTGCAGCAGACCGTCGTTAGCCTGACCGAGCCGTGTCGCAGCTGTAGCCATGCGCTGGGTATGCCTTTGTTTTCTCCTCAAATCCAGGGGTTTACACCCAGAAGTCTCTTCTGTTGCAAGTTAAAATTCAAGATGACATAGCAGGAGTTAGAAAAGATGTTACAGTTGGACCCAAGTGTCAGTTTATTTGGATTAAAATATGTTGGATAAATCCTAAGGTGTTTTTTCAAAGAAATTGAACTGAGATACAACTTCTAAAAATCCATAACCTACTTCCAAAATCCATATCTTTTAAGTTGTTAAAATGCAAATGCATTATCAAATTACCCAATAATTGTGATCTTTTATATAACATCAACCTCATATTTTTTCATCTGCCAAGTGCTTTAGTTCTTCACATTGTGATTCTAGTGAATATAATCTGTATTACATTTTCTTGCTATAGAGAAAACTGTAAAATATTCTGGGATGTTGTTAAATCAAGTACTTTTATCCGCAGAAAGAACTGTGTCTTTTCTGCATTACAAGCAGTGATATTGCAGTTGTACATCTTCAGATTGTCTTAAGTTGCTGTGTAGATAGCTAGCATAACTTGGAAACAGCTGCTCAAAATCCACTGCAAACTCTTTTTTTTCCCCCTTTCTTTCTCTAAGCAGAATAAAATAATGATTATTTTTACTTGCATAGTCTGAAAAAGAATGAGACATCCTTCTCACTTTCTGTTTAAAGAACTGTGGTTATCCAGGGAAAAGGTGATGACTATGATGACTTACATAATCCATAATAAAATTTGAAACAACTTGCCAAGAAGTAGTATTGTTTTAATTATTGTTGATACAATCTAAAATTTGGTGAAAAAGTGAAATAGAGGGGAGGAATGTAAAATTTTTAAAATATGCTATTTATGTATTTATTTTTGAAAGTAGTAATGCACTTTGGGTGGAATTAGTCAACCTATTTTTTGTTATGGAATTTGTTTCCCTTTTTTGCTCCCTTCTTATTGTATGCCCTCATTATGCTTGATCTATTTATGGGCTTGTCAGTGGTTTTCTTCCCTTTCCTCGTATCCCAGATTTATGGATTTGCTTGCAGAAGATAATCAAACACATAACATTACAGAAAGTTCAGTGATCTAGCCATTTTACTTTATTCAAATTTTTATCATGCACTTTCTCTGAGCTTGACTTTGCGGTTGGAGTAGCATGTGTAATCCATCACTTTCATTCCTGGGCTTTTGATGACAAAAAGATGCCTTTTTTTTTTTTTTGGTATTACAAGATGTTTTGTTAATATGCCTTAAAGAACAAAGTGTAATTTATTTACTTCAACTTTATTGCTATTTGTAGAAAAAGTAAAGTTCCTTATTCTGCCAACTGCAGCTAATGAGGATCACAGGATCACACAGAATCACAGGATGGTTAAGGTTGGAAGAGACCTCTAGAGATCATCTTGTCCAACCATGTGGCACAGGGTGGCATCCAGGCGGGTTTTGAAGATCTCCAGAGAAGGAGACTCCACAGCCTCTCTGGGCAGCCTGTTCCAGGGCTCTGTCACCCTCACAGTAAAGAAGTTCTTTCTCACATGGAGATGGAACTTCCTGTTTTAATTTATACCCATAATGTGTTTTGAATCAAATCTGTGGTACGTAGTCAGAAGGAAATGAGGAAAGTCAAAAGCTCTTTGGACGTGTTCTTGGCTCTGGCAAAACTGCCTTTCTCAGCAGGAGCAGTTCAGTCGCCTCTAATGATACTGTTTTCTGACACTGGCTGCAGCGCTGTCACCATCTCTGCAAAGAGCTGGAAATGCTCTGGCCGTGCATTTGCTTTCACACATCATCATGTGCCAGAGCAATGGGGAAGCTATTGCTGGAGCCTGTAAGAAAAGTTAGGAGTCTGGTACCCAAAGACAGGGATTTAGTGGCTGTTCTGAGCCCAAAGACAGACACATCTGCATTTCAGCATCTGTTTCTGCATCCATCTCGTGCATCTAGCTCTGAACAGGAGCAAAACTTCCTCCTTGTCCTTTCAGTCATGGTGCTTCATTGGGAATAACTGAAATGAGTTACTGCTTGCTTCCTCATAGAGTGGGCAAAAGAAAATAAATGTCTTTCAGCAGTATTTTTTTCCCAGGTAGTTTTCCTATTCACCTTTAAAAGAGTGTATTCCTTCTCAGTGTGTTTGAAACCAGAATGATGAACATGTACAAACTCAGATGTGTCCCCTGCTACTGCATTTTCTTGTCCTCAGGGCGCCTTTGAAATAGCTATGGATTCCTCTATGGGCTAACTCTAAAAATAAGATGTTAGGTTTTTGTTTGTTCATTTTATTTTCTTCAGAAATTGATCTTGGGCAGCCTTGTGCATTGTCACACTCAATACATCTTTCTGGAGTTGGTTTGTTCTTTAAAATGGTGCAGCTTTTGGTGCAAAAGTGGGCTTAGTGGTGCATGGCTGTGCTTTTTTCTGTTTACCTACGCACAGCATGCATTCTTTCATCAAAGCAATTACAGTAGTTGACGTGCATAGCTCACGTTACGTTGCACAAGTACTGCCTCTGCTATTGACTGAGACCTCTTGACTTATCGTGGCACCAAAATATGCTGGCCACTGCTTCTGTGGCTGGCCTTTTGCACTGTTCCTTGTCACTGCTCCAGAGTTTTCTGACTCTTGGAACCCTCATCTGCTCTTAGCACTTCAGTTTTGCCACTGGACTGCTTCTCATGTCCTTTGCTTTATGGTCAGCATTTCCTCAGCCATACGGCTTGGTTCTGTTCTGAAGTTGTTACAGATATTTCTTTTATCTGGGCAGTATGTTAAGTCACGAACATAATTCTGTGAACTGGAAACTGAGCTGTGGGCAGGGAGAACGTGCTGTACAGCAGCCTCAAGCCCGGGTGTTTATGTATGAGAGGCTCTTCTCTTCTTGGTATTTAATTGCTTTCTTCTGTGCTACAGGGCATGTTTTCCAGTCTTTGGTCTATTATGCTTTCTTAAAACTCATTAATTAATGTGTCAATGCACACAAGTGTATACTCAGACTCCCACTTTCTTCATACGATCTGTTGAGTTCCTGCTCTACACCTATATGTAACATTTTTAGGTATTTTATTTACCAGTCCTCCTTCATAGTTTACTAGTATTTGTATGCAAACATTCATTAATTTTGGGAAAGACTGCAGGTATCTTCCCCATTACTCTGTTTCTTAAGGACTTTTTATTCATGCACTAAAGTACTTTATTACTGAAGTTGCAAAACCGAAATAATTAGCTTCCTATTTTTCAGGTCTTCTTTTTATTGCATTGTCCTTTTGTTTCCACTTTCTTTCTCCTGTGTGCAGTGGCAATTTATTAAAGAAAAAGAAGGAGAAAAAAAACAAAGATCACAAGTCTAAGCTCAAGCACAGCTGAACAATGTGCAGTTTGGGCAGTGCAGGTGAATAGGGTTGTACAACTCAAGTCAAGAGTGGCACAGTGTTTGATGTTAACATACTAAATCTTTTACTTTAATGAAAGGTTTAATATTAGCCACAAGAATCTGGGAACGAGTTGTGAATATCTCAAGTAAGACAGTTTGTTGGACTGATGTACAAGTATCTTGACTGTGGTAAATGATCACCTGTAGTTAATAGGTGCAGGTAATGCTCTTGGCTTATGTTGCTTTTAGATTCATTGCATGGGTATTAATTCTAGAGTAAAATATAATATAAATTGCAGAGCAGAATGTAATATTAACTCCAGAGTATGAGTAAACGTTAAAACACGGCCATGCAGAAGCCAAGGCAACTTTCACTAATGTTACAGAAAAGGGTTGGAAATGACTTCTTATGCTGATGCTTTTTCCATTTGCCAGTTGAGTCCAAGACTTCCTTACCATGTTATCTAATGCAGTGCTTTGCTAGGAGGGAATTCATTACCTTAACAAGATCAGTACTGACAGCTGGGATTATTAAACTTTCATATCTTGTTCAAGGGCTGAAATGAAATCATTTTATTCTGCCTAGAATGCTGAATATTTGTAATTAAAGAAAGCCCATGCTGACCATCTTGCTCACAGATGGAATTGTTCAGAGCTTAAGAGATTATATCATAAATGCTTATTTAAGCGGAAATGAATACAGGTACCTTTTTAATATTCTGAGCCATAGAAGCTGTCCTTTGCTATTTGAAGCTGCACAAAATTGTTGAATTTAAATGTTTTGACAAATGTCATACTAAACTTTCCAAAACAAACATTTTTGCTGAGTGGCCAACAAAAGCGATCTTTTTCAAGTCAAATCTGTTTCTCTCCACTTCCTTTCTCCTTAAGGAATCAGATTTGTTTTGAAAATGTCTTACGAGTCATAGCAACGATGTCATGTCTATAATGATACGATAATTATCCAGTAAGTAATTACTGTTAAAAGATATAAAAATCAACATGTTTAATTTTTTCAATCATTTTCCTTTGGTTTTAAAGGATATTTTCTTGATGTTTTAGAGGAAAAGATATGCATGGCATTTCCATTGTCTCTGAGTCAGCCTAAAATTATTACTTATTGTAATGTCTTGTTCCAGGAATTGATTTTTATTTTAAATTTTCTTCTCTCTTCCTGGGGCTAGTTGTTCAAACTAGCCTTGTCCCTCTTTAAACCTCAAACCTCAAAAGACTGCAAATCTAGAACTACGTTTGCCTTTGAGGGTGACAGGAAAAGTTTGTTATATGCAAATTATGAAATCTTGAGAGATGCTTCTCAGCAAATGGGCACGTGTAGCTGCAAAAGCTTTGTCAACATAATGAGCGCAAAGCATCACTCCATCTTACCTGATATGAAAGTGTATGTGAACAGTCCACTGTTTGCTGAGCTGATTTATTTTTTCATTTTTCATTTTCACAGAGCAGAGGGCTACTTGTATCAGCAGGTGGGTTTTGTAACTAAAGGGGATTTTATCAAGAAACTTTGTCTCAAAAGCATAGCTGCTCTTGGGCAGAATTCTCTATAAGTAGTTACTTGTATTACCACGTATGAATACAATCACACAGGACTTTGGATCTGCTTTTACGTGGATGCGTTCCCACAGTCAATTGTCTGTGGGAATTGCCATCCTTGGACTATCTTTCCAAACTGCTGAGGTATGACATATTTGAGGAGCCTCTAATAACAAGTTCTGTTGTAGAGGCTCTTTCAGGATACATACCCTCACAAATTGTGTCTCAGTTTCAGATATTTCAGGGAATAGTTATGCTTTTGGTTCTTTCAGGCTTTTTACAGGTTGGCTTGTTTTATTATTTTGTGTAGCTGCTCATGTTTCTCACCTGGAGAACGTGTCTGAAGAGGAGATGAACAGGCTCCTAGGGATTGTGCTGGATGTGGAGTATCTCTTCACCTGTGTCCACAAGGAAGAAGATGCAGACACTAAGCAAGTTTATTTCTACCTATTCAAAGTAAGCTGAACTTGCATGGCAAGTTGACATTTTATTTCATTCTTTCACACCTATCTAATGCACTGTCCACTGACTGCTTATTGCATGCATTAACTTTATTTTGTGAGAGTATTTCTTTGCTCTGGTGTAAAGCTATACCTTGGGCTAGACTGAGGTGCTTGCAATGTACAGTATCTTATACCAGAAGTCATCCTGATGGTGTCAGCAGCTGATCCTAAGTCCCACCTATAAACTAGGTCTGCTTCCATCTACCAACCTTGCCTTCTTCACTTACAAATCAAGAAAAGTCAGTAGACGTAAATGCTAACATAGCTGCACAAGTGTATATGAAGCAGCCTTTTAAATGCATTTCAAAGGGTATATGAAGCAATACACAGCTGCAAATTTTGATGACTAAGCTGACAGATGCAGAACAGATTTTCGACACTGTTTATGAAGTGTTGCACAACTGTGACTTCTACTGGCCTTATGAATGCAATATGCTTATTTTCAAAAATGTATGTTTTTAACAGCTTTTGAGGAAGTGCATTTTACAGATGGGAAAACCTGTAGTAGAAGGATCTTTGGAAAGTCCCCCGTTTGAGAAACCCAGTATTGAACAGGTAAGCAATGAATTTTGGGGTGTTATTTATTTATTTATGGAAATGCTGTGCTTTTCCGTAACCCCTAGTTTTGAAAATACAGTGTTTTAGGTAGTTTGCAGTTGTTGTTGTATATTACTGCAGACAAAGACTGAATATGAAGGAAACCTCTGCTCTTCTTTTAATACTGGTAGAATAGTTAAATTATTTGACTTCTCTCATCATTCATCTTATGCTTTAATAAAACTGGCAGTTTTCTGTAGTTTTAAATAATGAAACTGAAAATGCTACTTTTGTGCCTGGCAGTTCTAATCTTTCTCTGTCCTGAGTGATGAAAAATGCTGCTGAGACTTTGAAATTCAATATTAAAATGACTTTTGTCTTCAGTGAAATCAATGAAAATGTTACAATCCAATTTAGCGAGATTATAGTCTCCTCTTTCAAAGTGTATGTAGCAGAAACCAGCTAAAAACAAAGAATAACTGAGGCTTTTATAAATCTCTCAGTGGAAAAAGTACCTATGACAAGTTCAGATTTTGATTTACTAAGTGTCTAAAAATGTACTTTTGACATGCCAGTGGACTCATTAACTCCAGTGAGACTATGCAGAGACTTAAATACCTCACTAAATTAGGAACTGTATGTTTTTGCATTGGTAGATGTGGTATTTAAAATGTGAAGACTCTTACATGCAGAAAATGCTTCCTCACAACTATCAATTTTTGTAACTCAGTAAAACCAAGACTGCTTTTTTGCTGAATTGCCACAAGGACTTCATCTTTTGTTCTTCTTTGGTTTGAACAAAGGAGGTGTGTCTACAATACCATACACTACAAAGCTTTAAAATATACTACTAAAAAGGTTTTGTACTAACACACATACATATTGTACGTGTATATGTGTTTGTGTGTGTATATTGTTTCCACATTCTTCATACGGATCAATTTGCCTAAGAGGGTAAAGATGAAAGGGTAACTCTTTTTACAGTTAAATAATTAAAATAACTGAGATAGACTGATATTTTAGCCCCCTTATTTTTAGCAGTTTACAAACTCATACAAAGTTATTTGCTAAGCAGCAGTGTTGTATGTGTTTTATAGATGTACATATTGCAGCAAGTTACTATGGATGCACATTTTAATTATTCTTAATACTGTTTTTGAAATTGGCAGTATATGAAGTGCAATCAAGTGACATGCTTGTGCAATACTGACATTTCTTGAAGAAATAATACACACTGTAGACAAAAACTTTTGCAGACATCCCCCAGCTTGAGTGTACTGTTAAAGATAGCTGGAGAGGTTTTTAAGTGATGAGAAAGTGCATACTCTATTTACAGAGGAAATTAATAAAACATGCAGTGTGGTTATCAGCAAAATTGTGCAGATGGAAGAACATGAAAAAAGCCCTCTTGATTTGTATTTCCCATCAAAAGTTTTCTGCTTTGAAAAGCAAGAGAAAGTAATTTTCTGTCTCTACTTCTAAGTCAACTGCTGAAATAGAAGGAAAACAAATGAATGGGCCTGTACAGGAGATTTTTTTTGTTACATTGTTACATATGTAAGTGCAAGGAGTTCAGTTTCCCATGTCTGTTTTCTTTCTCATGCAGTACAAGTTTGGGATTAGTAAAAGTGAATGGAGTTGAAGGACATGCCTACTAAAAATATGTTTAAATAATTGAACGGCAGTTTCTTTTTCTCTTTCAAGGGTGTAAATAACTTTGTGCAGTACAAATTCAGCCATTTACCCTCAAAGGAAAGGCAAACAATAGTTGAACTGGCCAAAATGTTTCTGAATCGCATTAACTACTGGCACTTGGAGACTCCTTCTCAGCGAAGACTGAGGTCACCCAATGATGATATTGCGGAGTATAAAGTGAATTATACCAGGTAATGATGCTTTTGCTTATTAAAAGTATTGCTTACAACCACACCGTATGTGCGTTTCGGGAATGCACCAGTACCTGTGAACCATAGTTGAGCCATGTGAATTCTCGTGGTCATTGGCCATCAGAGTTTTACACGCACTTTTCTTTGTGGTGTGTGCTTTATTAGCCAAGAACACGGAACAGGGCTCTGTCAGCCATATCGAACAATTTTGTGCACTCTAGTTCTTGCAAAGGTGTTTTCCCTCTGATTAAGGTATGTGCCTCATAAACTCCTTATTTCATGTACTAAAATTCAAGAAGGCTGCTATTCAACTTAAAATAAAACAGACAAATGAATCATTGAAAAGCATTATAGGCTGAAACCAAACCACAGCAGACATGGAAAATGAAAACGAATTCACAAGTGTTTGAGTTATAAATAACTGTTAGATATTATTAGGCTCCTTAAAATGGTAGTTTTTATATGATCTTTTAATACTTTATTCAGAATTTGAAGGAGCAACTTCATCCGTCTGAGAAGAAGAGCTAGTATAAAAAAAATACATCTTTTTGAAGTTTATTTTTTTGTCATAAAAATAGCATAGTAACTTTTTCACTTAACATAATGTTTCTACAAGCAAATATATTCCAGGAACTGGTTAGAAATATTTTTTCTGAATGACAAAGAGTATGGACTTATATCCATTTTCCGGCGACCTTTCTCCTGTAAAGCCTAGGCTCCATAAAGTGTATCAGTAAAGCTGATTTGAGGCTGTCTTTGGTAGCAATAGAGTTTGTTTTGGCTCTCTAGTATCAGATCAGTAAAAATCTGTGATGCTAGGAGGCAAGTTGCTAGTCTATGTTTGTTCACTTTGCTCATTCATGCAATTTCAAAAAAAAAAATGTTGAAGGTTAATTGCTTATTGGTGGACTCTCACCTACCATGAAGCCAGTCGGGGCAGCATTAACCCAGCGAGATTCATCTCTGCAGCACAGTGTGAAGTTGGTATGCTGAGTAATTAGAACAAAATGTGGTAGTTTACCCAATGGTCCAGATTGCATTCGTAGTGTTGGAAGATGCGGCCATGTGCAGATGTATCACTTCAAATAACTACCTGGCACAAAAGAGAGCCCTTATAATAAGGGCTCATAATCTAATGGGACCCTTAAAATGTTGCTTGTTGTGTTTTTGTCCTCCATTTGTTTTTGTAATAAAGATGTCTGGTAGCCCGGATCAGTAGGATTCAACTTTTATTAAGAATCAGTAGTTGACATTGGGCTCCAGTTGGTGATTTTATTGCTGATTATTTTGTCAACTGCAGTTTCTCAAACCTTCATGCTCACAGTCCCTAAAGCTCCTGCAGTGTTGCTACTCTCCATCTAATTCTCATTTTAGTTTGAGCTTCCCCCTTCCCCAGATTCGCTCCCCACTGTATTGCTAGAGGCACTGCTGTGGCTGCAGAGGAAACAGCTCTGCGGAAGGTAATAATTTCAGAGACTTTAGAGAAACACTGCTGTGGATCTGAGTGAGAAGAACACAGTGCAAAATCCAGGATAATCTGTTCACACAATGACATTCAATTCTTTATATATATATTTTCTTCTGTCATGGATAGAGTTTTGGTAATGGTTACTATCTCATTTTGATAAAGCTTGAGATGCTATTGACTCTGTTCACTCATACCAAGATAATAATATCTTTGTTGTAGAATTAACAGATATGGTGACCCAACATAATGAGGGTACCTTTTCAGTGCCATGATCTCTTTCTAAGAACTTTAACAGGCCGTTATATATAATGCAAAACTCATTTTGTGAGGAGATGATAGTATATGAAAGAGTATCAGGTCAAGCTGTAATAGGAAGAAGCTAGTTTGTGGGAGGCCAGGCTGGAAGTCCAGTCAGATTGGGTTGGAAGTAATTAGAAGTGTCACCCCTTCTACATATAGCTGTGAACATGTGGGAGTTGAAAGGGCAGAAAACAAGGCACAGAGCAAACTAAGGGTGAAGTCTTCGGAGCCACAGGCAGGTTCAGGAAGCCAAATGAATGAGTTGTGGAGAAAATTCTTGACATCAACATGAATTTTGTGCTATATATAATTGCTGTCTGGCCCAAAAGCACTTTGCGGAAACTGAAGTGCAGAGAAAAAGAATATATGGAGACTTAAGATAACTTGGCTGTCATTTTTCTAAAAAGCTGGCCAAAATATAAATGTTTCTTAGCTCTGTGGACATGATGTGGAGTTAATTTATACAGTCATTTAACTCTCACTTGCATTATAAATGATGCAGATAGTGGTTTCATCGCAGCAGGCTATTAGTATGTATTTTAGGTGGTGGTAATTATCCGGCTTTTCTCTCCTTTACAGGTGGCTTTGTTACTGCAATGTCCCTCAGTTCTGCGACAGTCTACCTCGCTATGAAACCACACAGGTGTTTGGTAGGACGTTGCTTCGCTCTGTTTTTACTGTAATGAGACGGCAACTGTTGGAGCAGGCTAGGCAAGAGAAGGACAAACTTCCTCAAGAGAAACGAACACTAATCCTCACCCATTTTCCAAAGTAAGGGCTCACAGCTCAGCTGTATTCAAAGTTAACCAGTAGTTTGCAGTTTTGATGTGGAAATGGAGAGAAAGAAAAGAAAAGAAAAAAAAAAGGATTAGTTCTCTTACCTACAAATTATTTTAATTTGTTCAGAGGCAAATAGATATTGCATCTTTTTTTCTGTCACTTGAACTGGTCTATTTTATATATGCAATAGCTTGTAATATATGTAATGAATACATGATGGCTGTCTATCATAGGGCTTTACTTTATAAGTAAAATTATTTATTGTGCCTGAGGAATTATGATCATTGCCAATTAGAATTTATTGCTGTCACTTATATTCATTTCAGCAGACCTTGGAAGCAGCACATGTCCAGATCTCTCTCTTCGTTCTGCTTCTTTATTAAAGAACAGTAGAAAATAATTCAAGAGTTGTCCTGCAGCTTATTTACAGTCAAGAATTTCATTTCCATTCAGCATTGTAATGGGGAACAAAGCAGTTCCTCTCCCTGCCCTCAGAAAAGATCTGCTTATTTAACAAAGAACAAAGTTGTCAATACAAAGCTGGATCTATGAACCCTAAACTAGGGACAGCTTGTTTGGGTACTGACGTATTGATGACAGAATCTCCCACAATTAAACAACAATAATCCCATCTTGGCCTGCGTGGGAAGTGGGTTGTCTCAGGATGTCCTCAGCTTTGGCTAACCTCAATGGCAAAAGTTTTGGTGGTGGTTAGAAGAGGGGCTGGTGACTAGATTGTTTATTGCACATGTTCTGTCAAAAGAGCCTATCTCTTCAGAAATATCCTTGTTTTGTGAGGGTGACTTGGCTCCCCCGTCCAGTTTTTTATAGGCCTATCCTCTCTTAACACCAAGGGAATCAAGGCTACAAGCAGGATGGTGACTCTGGGTCTAGGCAAATTGCTCCCTGGTGCTAGAGCAGCTTCATGATAATGAAATGAAAACAACATGGACTTGCCAATGTTGGGTAGGGACATTTTTTTTGTTCCTTACTCTTATTAATAATGTCTTTTACCACTTCAAGGAGGGTAAACTGTGTGTGGGGTGATTATGGATGCAGGAGTGTTTGGTTGTAGGATCGTGATCTTGTCCTGAAACAGGTGTGGGAAGGGTGTAACATTGTGCTTATGTGAAGAACAGATACGTGGCAGGTGCAGAGCCTTTGGAGGCTCGCTTTTGGAGCAGCCCTGCCAGCCCGGGTTTCCCCACATCAGCCCCGAAGGGGGTTTCATGGTCTTTCCAAGACTTGTAACGTGACACGGCTGCACATGGGCAGTCGGCAGCGCAGGTGACTAATACCCATTTCACTGATCCAGACATTAAACACTCAAGATAAAAGAGAAGCTTTAACAGAGGAGGATTTTCAGGACTGGGGTTTTCCAAGCCCCTTTGCCCAGCAATGCTGGGGGAAGTACATGCCGTGCCTGGCAGTGCCCAGGAAAGCAGTTGTGGAGAGTGCAGGCTGCAGCAGCTCCTGCTCAGCAGTGCGGCCCTGCTGAGGTGGGGCTCGCACCTTGGCTTCCTCGGTGGTGGTCAAGCAGCTGCTGTAAATTTTTAAGCTCTTGTCAGCTTGTAGATAGCATCTAATGCCTCATGTGCTATGCTTAGGTATGACCGTGCTGTATGTAAAATCTAACAGTAGGACTTCATCCTGAATGTCCTTGCTGTATGGAGAAAGTCTTACTTGAGCGGTCCTGTTGATGTTGATCTGTGGGTTCTCTCTCCTGTGTACAGTGAAG